GGGTGGGTCTGATGATAATGAGCTCCCTCAGCTTTTGATTGTCTTGGATATCTTAAATTTCCTTTCATTTTTGAAGGATAGTTATGCTGAATGTAGGATACTTGGTTGACAATTTTTTTTCTCTTTTAGCACTTTGAAACTGTTGGCCTATGGCCTTCTGGTCTCCAAAGTCTCTGGTGAGAAATCTGCTTTTAGCCTTATTGAAGATAACATGTATGTGATGATTTGCAGCGCTCTTATTATTTTCAAGATTCTTTGTCTTTCACTTGTGCAAGTTTGATTTTAATGTGTCTCATTGTTGCTCTTTCAGTTCATCTTGGAATTGATTGGACTTCTTGGATATTGATATTCATGTCTTTAATAAAATTGGGCAACTTTTTATTTATTTACTTTTGTAGTGCTTGGGAATCAAACCCAGGGCCTCAGATGTGCTAGGTGAGTGTTCTACCCCTAAGCTACATCTCCTAGCCCAATTTAGATATTTCAGCCACTATTTTTCAAATAGTTTCTTTATTCTTTTCTCCCTCTAACCTCTTCTTAGAGTTCCCACAACACATACATTGGTTGGCTTGATGGTGTCTGCAGGTTCTTTAGGCTGTGTTCACTTTTCTTCAGTCTTGTTTCTGTTCTGACTTGATAATTTCCATTGTCTTTTCTTCAAATTCACTAATTCTCCTTCTCTGTTTAGACCTGACTTTGAGTCTTTCTCATGAATTTTTCATTTCAGTTATTGTACTTTTCAGCTCTGGAATTTCTTTTTGTTTCCTTTTTGGTTTTTTAATCTGCCTATTTATATTTCCATTTGTTTATTTGTTTTATTGACACCTTCACACCTTCCTTTAGTTCTTTGCATGTCTTTAAGACAGTTGTTTTGAAGCTTTTGTCTAGCATATTTGCCATCAAGTCTTTCTGAGAAACAAATTTTACTGATTTTTTCCCCCCTTTGAGCTATATTTTCTTATTTCTTTGTGACCCTTGTGTGTTGTTAATGATGAAAATTGGGCATTTGAGTCTAAAAAATGTTGTAACTCTGTTAACCAGATTCTCCTCTTCCTGCGAGTTTGATGCTTTTGTTATAGTTTTTGGTCTTGCAGTGGTTGTAGAACATCATTGTGCTATAGATCAGCCTGCAATGTAAGCATCAATTCTTCTCAGAATCTTTTCTCAGATGTTCCCTGGGCAGGCAGGAATGTTTTTCTAATTGTCCCCTATATTTAATATGTTTTCTAGTGTCTTAGTCTTTAATGTCTGACTCTCAAAAGGAGGAAGAGAAAAGAAAAATTAGCTAAGTGTGGTAGTGTACACCTGTATTCCCAGCACCTGAGAAGATGAGGTAGGATAAGTTTGAGCACACAGAGCAGGAGATGGAGGGAGGAAGTGGAGGTGGGAAAGAGAGAAAGAGAATAGTACTGGGAATTGAACCCACGGCCTCCACACTGAGCTACATCCACAGCCTTTTAGTGTTGGTTTTTTTTTTTACCTTTAAGACATGGTTGCACTAAATTGCTTGGTTGCCCCAGACTGGGCTTGAACTTATGATCCTCTTGCTTCAGCCTCCCAAACTACTGGGACTACAGGTGTGCACAGCCACACCTAGTTTACACAGGTAGCTTGAGGCCAGCCTGGACTATAAAGTGACACCTCATGCCAAAGAAAAGGAGAGACTGAATGAGAGAGAGATAGGAATATTGATTGAGGAGTGGGAGCTCTGGGCCCTTTAGAAAACACCAGCCCACAGGAGAAGCCTTGCAATACCGGGAGAAGACACAGTAACAGTACTCCAGCCTCTCTGCTCCTCTTTTTTTGGTTTTTGTTTTTTTTCCAGTACCAGGAATCGAACTCATGACCTCACGCTTGCCAGGCAGGCGCTGTGCCACTGAGCTAAATCCCCAGTCCCTTGTCTGCTCCTCTTTGATCAGAACTAGCAGCCAGTGATCAGAATACAGGTGCCAGTATTTAGAAGACAAGGTCCTTTTTGTCCACCTGGGCAAGCTATGTACAAGTCATCCCATAAACATGTGCACAGCTGCCTACCATGTGGCTGGGGCCTGGGGACTGGCAGCTACCATTGTGCTAAGAACTGAAATTGGCCACTGAGAACCATAGTTTGCCACCCATAACCACTCTCCTAAGCTCAGCAGATGTCACCGTCCCCAGGGGTAGTTTCGCAGACTCTGCCAGTGCAGCTGTCTCCATGGACACAGTCCTGGGCCTCCTTTGGTTTTTACACATCTGCTATACTGCTCCTCATGAGCAGAAACTTTGTCCAAGCATTTCCTGGCGCTTATTGTAAATTCCATTTTCCAGAGTGAATGATAAATAAAATACAGTTGTTTTTGTTACAATCCTGTTTTCTCCCTGTCTATAGATGAGCCAGGCATTTTCAGTCAGTGGAAAATGATGACAGGTAATTCAGACATTCTTCAATTAGTCAGCTATAACACATTTTATATGAAGTTAAATGTTTTATAAGACATACACACTTTAAAAATCCATCTATTTCTCACCATACCTCACACAGTACAGTGCATGCATTATGGAAAAAAATCAGATTGAAATTCATTTTTATAGGTAACTAGCAAGAGGGAAAAAAGACATCCACACAACTTTAGTAGACCATCCAAATGACAGACACATTAAGTTGTAAGCCACATTAGTCATACAAAATGTACTGGGTGTAGTTGTGCACGTCAGTAATCCCAACACTTGGGAGGCTGAGGCAAGAGGATTACTGTGAGTTCAAGGTCAACCTGGGCTACATAGTGAGTTTAAGGCCAGCCTGAACTGTATAGTGAGACCCTTTCTCAAAAAAAAAAACAACAAAAACAAAAAAGCAAAATGTTACAACCATGCAGAATATTTGATGGTATTGATTTAAGGTAGCTACTGATGTCAAGAGTTCTTCCATTATTTTTTTTTTTTTTTTTTTTTGGTACCAGGAATTGAACTCACGACCTTGCACTTGCCAGGCAGGTGCTTGTGCCACTGAGCTATATCCCCAGCCCCAAGAGTTCTTATGTAGAGTACAACCGACACGTTTGAAAAGAGTCACACTATTATTTGGGGAAAGACATTTGGACATTATTAGTTTGCTGGGTCTTTAACCCTTCCTGCGCCAGCAGTCTTCATGGCATACAGCATGACACATAGCACCTGTTAGAGGCAGGCCATGGGTGTGTAACTTATGCTCTGGTTTCATGTTCCTCTATTACCATCTTTAAATTCCAATATGCTAGGCATGGTGGTGCACACCTATAATCCCAGCACCCTGGAGGCTGAGGCAGGAGGATACCCATGAGTTTGAGATCAGTCTGGGCTACATAGTGAGTTCAAAGCCAGCCTGAGCTATATAGCAAAACCCTGTCTCAACAAACAAACAAACAAACAAACATCCTAATTTATTTTAAACAGGAGATCCTTCATTTCCATTTTACACTGGGTCGTGCAAATTATGTAGCTGGTTCCGATTATGAGTGTTGATTTCCTGTTCCTTTACCAAAACTAATGGTCTAAACACAAAGTATTGTTTTTACAAGATAAACTGTGGATCAGGTTGGGGCAGGGGCTAGAGTGAGCGGAAGGAGCTACTGGCTAACTCCTCTCATTTCCACAGGAGGCCAAAGTAGTGGGGCGGGCATGGTTTAGGGCCAGGTGGGCACTCCTGACCCCTAGTTTCTCCCTGAACAACCACTGCACCTGCTCCTGATTGAGCAATGCTCACCAGTCTAATCTCTGCCAGCTCCTATCAGAGTGCTTTGAGTGCAGTATTGCCTTAGCTTAATCTTCACCAGCCTACGAAATGACAAGGAGTTGACTTCCAATGATGAACTTGTGTGCAGTGCAGAGCTAGACGTGACCTCCCCAATCACTGTCCTCCTACTCCCTTATGAAGTAGCCAGCCTGTCTTGTCAGTTGTTGGAATCAAACTTGAACCACTGATTTTTCTACTTTTAAAGGTGCAGTGTCAGAGAGAGGGCCATAGTGAATGCTTATATAGTTTGTGTTCTACTTTCTGATTTACATGTAATTGTACATAGTATAGGTTGAGCATCTGTAGTCAGAAAACCCAAATGCTCCAAAATTCAAAACTTTTTGGGCATGGACATGATATCATAAGTGAAAACTCTACACCTGACCTCGTACAATAGGTTGCAGCCAAAACACAGGCACACTAAAAGTCCTACATAAAATCAGACTGGGGTTGTAGCTCAGTAGTTGAGTGCTTGTTTAGCACACATGAAACCCTGGCTTCAAGCTCCAGTATTGCCCCCAAAATTTATTTTTGTATAAAATTACCTCTATAAATTTCATATTTATTCTTGGGTCCCATCCCTAAGGTGTCTCATTATGTGTATGCAAGAATTCCAAAATTTTTAAAATCCAAAATCCCAAACACTTCTGGCCCCAGTATTTCAGATAAAGGATACTCAACCTGGGTTACTCTTTGGTATCTTTTGAGTATACATTTCCCATCTTTTTCCACGGATACTATCTGGACAGCATATTGATACTAGGAGTGTTTTTCCAAGTTCGAGTACACTCCTTCTCCTTCTCTTAGAAGATAATACCAAAAAAAAAAAAAAAAAGATAATGCCAATAAATGGAATGTGTATTTTTTTAAACTTCAGCCAAAGTAACATTTTGTTCATTAGGGTTTTTTCTTTTGTTTTGTTTTGTTGCTTTTGAGCCAGAGTGTTGGTATATAGTGTAGACTGGTCTTAGATTCACTGTGTAGCTCAGGTTGGCTTCAAACTTGTAGCTATCTTTCTGTCTCTGACTCCCAAGTGCTGGGATTACAGGTGGGCACCAACCTGCCAAGCTTCTGTGATTATATCTTGTTGTGATTGTTTTTTCTAGATTGTAATGTGAGATTGTGTTCTGTCCTAATTTAGAAAGATTATATGTTCAATTTTAATTTTACATTAAAATAAGGGTTTTGGGGGCAGATTTGTAAATGCAGAAATTCCCTTCGGGACTAACCCTGGTTATATCTTCTGCAGGAACTCGTCCCTAGCAGCTGACGTCCCCAGGCTTGGCTATAGTTCCTCGTCCAATCACAAATATATTCCTCGGAGGGCAGTGCTGTACGTACCTGGAAATGATGAAAAGAAAATAATGAAGATTCCCTCCCTGAATGTAGATTGCGTGGTGCTCGACTGTGAAGATGGTGTGGCTATGAACAAAAAGGTAATGGTGCGGCTTTCTGGTGGAAGAAGAAAAGGATTGAAATTTGCTGTCTGTGGCAGCATTGCTCACTGTTTGCTCATCATTTGCTGAGTATTAACATTTTTTAATCCAATTTTTATATGGGTCCTGAATGTGTGGGTGTGTCTCTTTATCTGAGGGAGAGGCAGAATTTGATCAAAATACATCCGTGTCCAGTAGATGTAACTATTGTGTATATAGGTAAAGTGGTAGACAGTTTGGGGGCCATTAGCACTTGTTTGTCTGGGTAAGTGAGTTATACAGTTCTGGAATTGTCATGTAAAATTCTTAGGTCAGTAAAATATAATCATTTCTTGTCTTTAGCACCAGGTGTATTAAGTAGTGGTCTTGTCTTCTGAGACAAATGCCAAGAAAATAAAAGACAGTTGTCCATTGGTAAATTGCCAGTTTCCATACTTCATTAAAGAGAAACTATTTACAGAACCTTAGGTTGCCTTAGCTTCTGCCTGATTTCCTCGTGGCCTGGCCAGAGAAATGAGCCTTAGAAAATCTGCTGCGTGTACACAGCTATAGAAGGTTGTTAGTTGGCGATGACATGGTGTATGCTTTTGGCTTAATTTTATTTTGGGTAACTTTGTTTTTTAGATTTTTATAATGAACATGAATTTTTTTGTGGAGTCAGATAAAACATAGAAATCTGTATAACGATAACTTACGTTTGCACTTGATCTTTATTTCTGTGGTCCCTGGTCAGCGTGGTGGGGCTGGCGGACAGAGGATCGGGCCGTCTGGGTTTGTGCCTGCTTGGGTTGTTTCTTGCTTCTGGTGATCTGAAAGAACCTGTCTGTACTATCCAACTGCTGGATGGATTGCTTTCTTCGGGCATTCTAGCCAACAAATATTTGCCTTAACTAAAAAATAAAGTTAATTTCCTGCATCATCCTAATAATGGTCAAAGCAAGGCTTTTGAAGTCTTTGGAAAGGGATTAGAATAAGCATATGGAATCTAAAGTGTCTACTCAGTATTTTTGGCATGTGCCAAGGAAAATACAATTAATCTTCTTTCTCCCAGAGATTAAGGTAAATAGGCCCTTTTTTGGAAGGCTATAATGTGATTCCAGTACGCTTCCTCCCAAACCTGTGTAGCGTGCTCTGCAATTAGATAATAAATTGTAATTCCGGTGCTGTATGACCCAGGGCGATTCACTCTATGTTTGCCTCAATTTCTTATCTGTACTGTGGGGATGACAATATCTTCTTTTGTCAGAGACAGGGATTATTATGAGAAAAAAGTTGATAAAGTGCCTGGGAGTAGCTTGATTTCCTATAGGAAATAGACTAGATAAAGCTGGAGCAATCACGATTAGAAGGGAATTTATTTCAGCATTGTAGCACAGTGAGCCATTAGGCTCCCCGATAAAGTTCTAATTACATTTCTTTGCACATCTTGAGGCTATCCTCTCAGACTCACCTGAGGGTGTTTCCTGACCCCAGGTGAGTTGGAAATGGGAGTTTCCTTACTGTTTATCTCTGCTGTCAGCCATCCTTAGACCCAGCAGCACAGCAGCTGAGGTACTGTTCAGAAGACACCCAGAGGCAGATAGACAAGTTGTGCTCGCCATCTCGGAGTGTATGTTCACATGGTGTCTTGGTTGGGCCATGTTATGGTTTAGATCTAAAATGTTCCCTAGCTGGGCATGGTGGCACACGCCTGTAATCCCAGCCCCCGGGGGGCTGAGGCAGGAGGGTCACCATGAGTTCTAGGTCAGCCTGGGCTACACAGTGAGTTCAAGGCCGGCCTGAGCTACGTAGTGAGAACCTGTCTCAAAAACTAACTAACTAACTAAATAAATGCCCTCTAAGATCTATGTGCTCATGGGTGGGGCCTTGGGAAGATGATTGGATTATGGGGTTGTAGCTCACATGCTGTCAGGAAGGAGGTTCTGGTTGGGAGAGGTGGCCCAGAAGGATTGATCTCTTCCCTGCGCCTCCTTTCACCCCCTGTGTGCTTCCTGCCATCATGCCCTTAGCTCCTTCTGTGTGATGCCCACTGCCATGCTGCCCTGCCTCAGACCCCACTGACTATGGGCTGAAACTCCTACACACTGAGCCAAAATAAACCTCTCTTCCTTTGCGCTGTGGGCGTCAGGCACTGTGTCTCAGCGGCAAGACAGTGACTAAAGCAGGCCATTCTGATGCTCTTAATGCAGCTGACCATTGCATTAATTGCTGGATGCATTCTTTCCTGCATGCGGACCCTCAAGCGAACTAAAATTCCCCTCGTGATCCACAGAAAGTCCTAGCAAGGCAGGGCACTACATGGGAAAATAGTCTTGCTTACAAGTTCTACCTAAGACTTAATTTCACCTCACATATGTATCAGTTCAAAGCCCTAGCCCATCAAGGTGTTTTTGTATTTGATCTCGCCATCCAACACTCAGATCATCTGAGAACCAGACGAGCACAGCGAAAGAAAACAGAACAGATCCCTGATGGAAAGGTTGGAGAGGCTGGAGCCAGACCCGCTAGGAACCTCGGTCAGAGGCTGTGTGACCAGAGTGAGCAGGAAGGCCAGGCACTGTGACACAGACGACCGCCCAATGAGATAGTGTTACTACATCATTTTACAAAGAAGGAAACTGAGTCCTGTTCATGAAGGGTACTGGGATATGGTTATTCAGCCACCTGACTCCTGAAACCCAGACTTTGCATGAGGATATTATGAGAGTCTATTCAGTGCTTTTTCAGAATGAAGATACATTCCCAATCTATCAGCCTACAAATACCTTTTCACCCCATACCTCTAGACCAGAAACATGAGGCCAGGTGGACAGGACTGGTTCTTGATGAGGCCATGTGAGTACCTAATTGCTTCTCCTACTTTTTGAAGTGGTAGAAATGAGGAAAACATTTTACTGATAATTTCTTATGTAACATGTAATATTATTTACACATATCTCATTTAAATATATTATTTTCGTATATAATCTTATTTAATCCTTACAGCTAAGTTCTGAAATATGTCCAAGGTTACATTGCCATTAAGTGGCAGAGTTCAGCCTGCTTGGTGGCCCATGCCTATGAGCCCAAAACACTGGGAGGCTGAGGCAGGGGGATGGCAACTTTGAGCAACTTAACGACTTAGCAAGATCCTGTCTTAAAATGAAAGATAAAAAAGAGCTTGGGATGTATCTCAATGCAAAGGCTCTGGTTTCAACCCCTCACTACCACAAAACAAATAAATAGTGGAATTCAGATTTGAATTTTCGATGGAATCAGCCTCATACTCACCATTGATTCACCATCAACGTGGTTCACGATGCATCATTTCCCCTTCCTTCAAAGTTAGCACCTTGGCCTTTCTAACCTTTTGTCAACTTTGTATTCTCCGCTATTTCTTAAGAGTTACTAGCAGGGGGGTTGGGGATTTAGCTCAGCAGCACAGTGCCTGCCTGGCAGGGGCAAGGTCGTGAGTTCGGTCCCTGGTACAGGAAAAAACAAAACAAAATAAAACAGAAAGAGTTACTGGTAGGACAGGAGCTCTATGGTTATATCCACAAATTTCCCCAGTGCCCTGGGATTATAATTGATTTAGTCCAGGGACCTCAGTTCATTTGAAGTGTCCAGGTGAGTCTGATATTTCTCATCTCTCTCTCTTTCTCTCTCTCTTTTTTTTTTTTTTTTCCGGTACTGGGAATCGAACTCATGACCTCGCGCTTGCCAGGCAGGTGCTGTGCTGCTGGGCTAAATCCCCAGCTCCCTCTCATATATCTCAAATTCTTTTTTCTTACTTGAAGTCACCTTTGGTCATTTTTCTTAAAGTTATTCTTGTTTGGTTTTTTTGTTTGTTTGTTTGTTTTTGTTTGTTTTTGTTTTTCTCCGGTACCGGGAACCGAACTCACGACCTTGCGCTTGCCAGGCAGGCGCTTTGCCGCTGAGCTAAATCCTCAGCCCCTTAAAGTTATTCTTGATGGAGGAGATAGAGACTTTTTTAGTGAGTTTCTTACTAAGAAAAAATGCATATTAAACTCTTATTTCAGATTATCCTATTTATTTTTTCCTAAACTGAGCTATTATTGCCTAATTCAGTGTTCTGGGAATTATGAAAATGTGGTCACTTCATTTTATATCTCATTTTCTTTCTTTTTGTTATTAATGGACTAACTCCATATTTTATTAGATTGACTGGAGTGTGGGCTTAGAATGAAAACAATAGGAGTTCCACGCAGCAGTTTGTAAGGATCTAATACCTTCCAGCGGGCTCTAATCCTGTCCTGCTAATCCAATTTGCATTTAAGGAGCTCCTTCACATGGTCCCAAGCACGGATGATGAAAAGATCCTCCACTCTGTCTGTCACCTCCTGTCATTATTAAATCCACGAGGAGGCACAGGTTGTCCACACCACTGCGCGCTGGGCCACTGGAAAATGCACCAAATAATGCACCGCGTTCTGGTGACTCACCGTGACACTGGGTGCTAAGAAGGTGGGAATGGAGGAGGTGGAGGCTGTATTTCAGGACTGCTATTTCACTTGAGTAAATAATTAACTAATTAATTAAATTTACAAAAACCTGCAATGTCTAAGTAAATATGGAGTATCAACCAGGCACTGCACAGGCAGGAGGGAGACAAAAATGGTTGTATGATCCCCGACTTGGAGGTGACGTAGGCCAATGGCAAGACAGGTGAAGAAGTTAGAGTAAGGTCTGTACGACCCAGCTATTTGTCTTCTCGACATCCTTCTGAAAGAGTTAAAGGCATTACAGTGATGCACAGCAGCACAACTCCTAATAGCTGAATCTTAGAAGCAGCCTATATGTCCATCAGCAGATGAAGGATAAAGAAACTGTGGTCTTTATACACAGTGAAGCACTACTCTGCCATAATCAAGGATAGATCTGAGGCATTTGTAGGAAACTCGATGCACTTTGAGGTCATAATGTTAGGTGAAATCAATCGGACGCACAAGCTTACATATTGTAGGCTTCTCTTAGGTGAGAAATCCAAATTACAAATTAAA